ACTACATGCTGACGCAAGCGCACGATTAGTGGGTGCGCCCCTATTCCTAAAGTAAAAGGCGCACCCACCGCGCGCATACTGTCTACACACCCTAAACCCTAAACCCTGAACCCTGAACCCTAAACCCTGAACCCTGAACCCTAAACCCTAACCCGGAAACCCTAAACCCCTAAACCCTGAACCCTGAACCCTGAACCCTAAGCCCTAAACCCTAAACCCTTGAACCCTAAACCCTAAATTTAAAACCCTGCAACCCTAAACCCTAAACCCTAAACCCTGAACCCTGAACCCTAAACTGCCGAGAGCGCCGCTGACCATTTGCATGGGCGCTCGAGGCTCCGACCGAGGCCTCTGGCCGAGTGTCTCGACAGGACGGTGAGGGAGGGTACAGCCTCCCGGTAGACGGGGACGGAAATGACTTGGCTACACCTAACACAATACGGACGTTAGTCCGTTTCATTAGGACCCCAAATCCCGAGGCTTTCTGGGCGGGTCCGAGGGGGCAACCCTGCCCGCAGCGCAGGCTTGGCAATTTCCAGGTTCCTTGCCTGCCCTGCCTGGGTGCGAGAGGCGAAGAATTGTGAACCCTTACTTCTCGTCGAGCCACAACCCGACACTAATCCATCCTAACTGTGGTTTGCTGTCAAACGCGCATTCTATGCTAAACCGCGAAAGGAAGAAAAGAGCAGGAAAGCCCCCCTTGATGGGGTTTGGGGGGTGAACCCTTCACCCTAATTGAGAATAGTAGGGGTGGTTGCATGGGGCGGGACTACATGCTGACGCAAGCTCGCGATTAGTGGGTGCGCCCCTATTCCTAAAGTACAAGGCGCACCCACCGCGCGCGCACATCGTCTACACACCCTAAACCCTAAACCCGAAACCCTAAACCCTAAACCCCGAACCCTGAACCTTAAACCCGAAGCCCTAAACCCTAGACTGCTGCTCGTTTTCTTTTGCTGGTATGATGATGTGTGAAGGTAGTGTATGCCTGCACCAGGCGGGTCCTTTTACTGTTTCGGCGGGAGAAAGGGACCACTGCACTTTAAAAAAAGCCTAAACCCTAAACCCGAAACCCTCATCCGATAGGGCTCTTAGGGTTTCCATGTGGATTTCTGTGGGCTCTCAGGGTTTCTATGTGGATTTCTATGTTGAGGGTCTAGGGGGTTTGGGGTGTAGGGTTTTAGGGTGTAGGGCTGGTTGTTGGGCCCTTTTGGCATACAGGCCGTTTGTGAAAAGTCACAACCATAATTCTGCTAAAGCAACCCCACATCTTAGCTGATAAGCCCAGCCACAAATCAAGTAGGTTTCTCCCCAAAGCCGTAGACCTTGCCACCAGAACCCCTCCGCCACCAGAGACGTTTAAGCGACCACTGCTCGTAAATCTGAGGACATGTCTTCAAGGGTTTGGGGTTTAGGGAATAACAACGATTGCCCGCTTTCACAAAGTACAGTCAGTAGTCCTCCACTCTCGAAATAACCAGTGACCCACAACAACCAGCCACCCTCATAGAACCCTTGTCGAGTCTTAAGGTAGGGGTCGTAATATAGGTACAGAAAGCATCCCTTGTTATTCCGGTACAAGTGTATCGTATGCTGCCCCCAGTCGAATTTATGATAAAGGCCTACAATTTCCGCCCAACCCGAACCCAAAACCGTATGAGCTTGAAACCTATATAAACCCTAAGCGACGCCTAAACTAAACCCTAGGCCCTAGACCCTAAACTATAAACCAAAACTCGTACACAAACCCTACCCTGAGGGTCTGAGGACTCATATTTTGAGGCTTTTGAGACCAAAGATCATAATATTTAAGGCTTTTGGGCTATTTTGGGCCTTAGGGTCAAGGATTCCGTTGAGGGTTCTAGAGCGGGTTGTTTAAGTTTTAAGGGGCCGTGTACCTATGTAGATATACTTACAGGCCGTGGCATACTTATATACGACCGCCCAAGGAGATACTTGGACCCTTAGGGCCAAGTTCATTTCTGTCCCAGGGCTTCCCACCGTCGTCACAGCCAAGGCCAGGCATTACTCGACCCAGACCTGGGATTCAGGTTTGGGGTTTAGGGCTTTAGGGGTATTGGGGTTGAGGCGTTTTGGGGGTTTGGGGTTTAGGCTTTTGGGCTTTTGGGGTTTAGAGCTTTAGGGTTTAGGGTTTGGGGTTTAGGTTTTAGGGCTTTTGGGGTTTAGGGTTTTAGGCTTTGTGTTTTTTTAGGCTTTAGGGCTCTAGGGCTCTAGGGTTTCACGTTTAGGGTTTGAGGCTTTAGGCTTTAGGGTTTCTGTTTCGAGTTTTTCGAGTTGCCCTAAACCCTAAACCCTCAACCGTAAATTCTCTAAACCCTAAACCCTAAACCCTAAACCCTAAACCCTAAACCCTAAACCCTAAACCCTAAGATGAGCCCTGATTTTACAGTAGTCCCACGTGATCACTCTTACTGTGCATGGCAGAGTCTGGAGAACCTGTGGGCTGGGAGCCGTTACCCATAGGCCTCATAGTAGTTCCTTTTCGGGGTTCACATTTAGAATCCTATACGGTAATCCCAAAAAGGAACTACTATGGGGCCTATGGGTAGCTTCACCCTAGACAACTTTGTTATGGCTTGGACGTAAAAAATGAGAGACTATGACAAGAGAACCTTATGGTTTGGACCCTATAACAAGAAACTACAACAAGATAGCCAACAACATGGTATCAAACTTGAAAGGCCGCACCAGCAGCCAGCGACCCCCATCGTCTGACAGGCACCTGAAGCGGCCGAAGACGTTCAAGCAGACAAAGCTGCAAGGTGACTGCCCATTCTGCGGAGCACGCTTTCAAACGGGAGCGTTCTGCACCAACTGTGGACCCCTGGCAGACATTAACAAAGGGGTCGGGATACTTAGTGTATATTAGTACATGACAATGTCCCCATAGATCCTCTATGACAGTCTGGGCACCAAATCTCTCCAAAACTGGAAAGGCTCCTAATGGTTGTCTTTCTTTTTCCGGACTCCCAACCCTAAACCCTAAAAGAGTTTAGGGTTGAGGCAGCTCGGCTGCCGATGGTCGTCCCAGAGCACGAATGCATCGGATATTTTTATTTTAGCAATGGTTGGACTGTAATTTATTGTATCAGACCATGCTTCTTTCCGGGTGAAATCTCTGTGGGTGTTGTAAAGGACCCCCACTACAGTAGCCTCTACTGACTCTACTACGTACAAGGAAGCAACCAACTCCAATGTTCAGAACGTTTTCGGGTTCAGTGTGTAGGGTTCAGGGGAGCTTGAAGCCCAACATGCAGGTCGCTTCTCATGCCGTTTTAGGGTCGATGCTTCAGATCTTCTGACGTAGGGGAGCAGAGTATCAGAAGAAACGGGGGCTGCAAACCCCTAAACCCTAAACCC